AATTTCTAATTTCTGGAAAGATTAATAAATTTATCTGTTTGATTATTTTGTGATTGTCGCGGAATAGTACTGTTATATTTCCAATTACTTCTTCTCTACCTGATATCAGCTCTTCTATGACTCCTAACTTCCAGATTCATCTTTGTTGCTCTTCACCCATTACAATTACTACTTCATTTATTTCAGGTTTTCTTTTAGTTAAACTTCATCCCTGTTAGTATTATACTTGCCATCGTTTTCTTAAATTAAGGAGACATTTTTTGTTGCCAATGCCCATCTAAAATTGGTCTAAACTTTGATTTGTTTCTCGAAATTATCTTTTCAATTTTTTTTTCTGTGTCAAACTTTCACTTATACCGTAATCTTCATCATCCGATTCCTTTTCCCAGAAGGGTTTAACGAAAAGATCGCTAAATTTAGCAGAAGGATTTATGAAATCAAATAGGACAAAGGACTTGTATAGAATCTTTCATCATTTGTATTAATGGTCAGGAATTCAAGATGGTTTCAATTTCTATGATGATCGTAATCAGTTCATTTCGCTAGAAGAAAACGTTTTTTCATGACTTATTTAAATGCTGACTTTATGAGATTAAATTCGCATTGCATTGGAGATTTCACTAATTGTTTTGAAGTTAAGTACTTTGCTTAGGTATAATACATTTCACTTTCTTTCATCGTTCTTTCCGAAACTATGAAATAAATTTCTACTTTTAGAAGTAAAAGAAAAAACAATTACTATAATATGCAAATGCATTTAACATTAATGCTTACGATTGTTTCTGGTATTCTACGAAAAAATAAAACATCGTTTACGTGTAGCTTTCGAATTTGGCGTCTTTTGATTATTTCATGGTGTACTGCTCGAATATTCAAATAACAAAACAATGCAATTTAGCATTTGGTAATTGATAATTATCTTCTAATATTAATTGGATCAAAATAATCTAATCCAATATTCATAAATGTGGATGAAAGTTATATGCATTAATTTGAATATGGGAGATAATTTGGTAGTTGGAATGGTTTATTGTTCCATCGTTTACATAATATGCAATCTCGTTTGATAATACTTTTCACTGTAAGATGGCATTTTTCACGTATTCTTCCGATGGTACTTTTCACGTATTCTTCCTATGGTACTTTTCACGTACTTTTCTTTTGATGGTACTTTTCACTTCTCACTGTATGGTACATTCCTTTCTCTTTTTATCCAGAAATTATCCCTTTAATTTGATTTATCCTACTGTGAAACATTTTTTCATGTGTATTGATAATAAATCAATAATGTTATTTCGACATCTTTTTGGATGATAAGTTTTGAATAGATCGCATTCTTGTTCAACTCAGATTCTATCATACATCCATCGCATCTTATCAATCCATAATTACCAGTTGTTAGTTGTTTTCTTTTCTTTTTCTCTTTCTGTGGCTTCATTTTTCTGAGTTTCTTTGATAAGATACTGAATAATGATTATATGTAATCATTGATTATGTTCCTGATTATGTAATCATTTAAGAAATACATTTGATGATTGGTAGTTGTTTGTGGCAGATATTTTTAATAAATTTAAATATTGGAATAATTTGTTCGGAGTAATTTATTTCAACTATTAAATCAATTAATATTCAAAAGATTTTTCTTTTCTTCTTTTTTTCCATTATGTTCTAATACAATCAATTCTTTTGAATTTCATTTTCTTCGTCATTCCTCTCTTTTTCCTTTATGAATTAATATTGCCGGCTAAGGAATTTTTGATTCAGATAACCAGTTAGGTTCATCAGTCAAAAAGAAATCAAAATCAAAAAGAAATCAAAAAGAAATTTTAATCGTTGATTTTTATCCCTCTACTGGTTACTTCTGCTGAATTATCAGCTGTAGGGACATATTTGAAATTTAGCATCGAAATCGCGATAAAATATAAGATACCGAATTGGCTATCAGATAAGGTATATCAACAAAAAGAAGACGAATAATGGTTGATATAAAAGTTCGATAATTTCTTCGAAAATTAGTTAACAGAAGCGACCAAATTATGAATAGCCAGCCCTCAAGTATTATAAATCGAAGAAATTTAATTGAGTACAGTCCACTTAAAGAGAAACTTGCGTGTTGGCTTTAATCAAGCAACCAAAGCAAAAATCGTTTGATACTTTGGCTTCAGCCTTAATGAACCAATCTAAACAAATGAACCCAAACTCATTCAAAGTCTCGAAGAAAAATTGATAGGTAAGAAGTGAAGACATGTATCTTCTATAACAAGATTCACTGGGACAACGAATGTTATATTTTTTCATGTTCAAGCAACGAATTGATCAATTAAGGAAAATCAATGCCTGCTTAACTTATTTCAAGATGGGACATAATGAAGCGGATTGCAAAAATTAGTAAGTTATTTTATTGTAATAAACCATACAACACCGCTTTATGTAGCATTAACAATGGCGAATCCAAGCAACGAGAAGAATCTAGAATTGATGGATAGAAGATTACAACAATAATGCAAATATTGCTATTAACATGACTGCATAAGCAGAAGGTCAGTGAGTACGTAAGGAAATCAATGTCTTCAATCCAAAAGAACCGGAATTGAAGATAGAAGGCTTAGCACTCTTTGATGTTGGCGCAGATTCAATTTTGTATCTCGGAAATTAGCCAATCAATTAGATCTAGTAGAACTTGATTAAGGTAATTATTAGCATTCGTTCCTTTGACAATAAGAAGCTTAAACACAAATTGGTGTAAGAATTGAGAAGTGAGACTCGATGAGCATCGAGGCCAATACATTAGATTATTTAAGAAGCGAACTTCAAGAAGTCAAAGTAGTTGAGAAGATAAATAAAGATGAATTCTGTAATCTCAGAAGCTACAGGAAACGACGTGATATAATTATCGGAGTTGATCATTTTTTCGAATTTGTCCAATCAGAAGAGACCCAGCAACTGAATTCAGGATTGACCCTACCAAAGTTGGCCCTGTCATAGCAAAGGGCGATTATACGAATAAACTATGTCGCTACCATACCCTTAACTTAGCAAGTGTCGTTTAGATGAATTGTGTATCAGATGTAAACTGATTCTGGAACAATCCAATGCTCACGAAGATAGACAAGCATTAGAACAGTTCAAAAAAATTATCAGCAAAAACAATGGTAAATGTTAAGTCTACTAGTCATGGAAGGAAATTGGGCAACAATTATGGCTTATGTTTTGGCCGTCTGCGGAAGCTAATTAGAAATTTCTGATCCCATAAAGAAGAATTACAAGCAAAGGCCTAATTCAAGACTAATTGCATTCCAGCATAATTGAAGAAATACCAACCACATATGGACTAGGTCCAGATCTCGTGGGATGGAATTGCACTAGATTCTTTTGGTTAAAGGATATTAAAAAGAAAGTAACTCTGTAACGATGAAGACTAAAATGTTATCATTTCAAAAGTATCGCGTTTAGATTGATATCATCCATCTTTTTGCTATCAGCTACCTTCAAACTATCATTTGAGAAATTATGATAATAAAATCAACCCTAGAAATAAGGAAAAAGCTTTATATGGACATTGCTATAATGCTAGCCGATAGAATACGGGATGTATGACGAGATGAAATCTATTTTTCAAACGAATATAAGAGAATTTCTCTTTAACGATCAAAACTTCTGTGTAGAATGATCTCTTGATTGTTGGATAAGATAATTTGGAAAAAAAAAGCTGGAAAGGAGAAAGAGAAAAATGGTACTTGTCGGGATTCTCAATAGGGAAAGAGTTATTGAGTTAGCATATATTTGATTAAAAAACCTTAAAAAACTCTTTAACTCTTCCCCATTTTTCATCATATTGCTGTAATTATTAAAAGTAACTCATTAAAGCGGACAGAAGTGGAGTAATAGAATTTTTACGAATATTGTAAAATAAAATCTCAGCATGATGATAAAATTTCCCAGTTAAAAATGCTGGCTTTAGAAACTTTAGAGAACAACAAAATTCATTTGAGTTTCTAAATGACTAAGTTTGAATTCCATTCCTTTGTCTTTTTTTTTTAAAGATTTTTCAAGAGTGTTCTATTAAGGTTACTCAAAAATTATTTCTAGCTAAATATGCCTCAATTAACTCAGAACTGTTGCTAAATCCATAACAGTACGAGCATCTTTTCGATCGAAGTACCAATAATGATTTTCTTTTAGTTCATGTTGTTTTCTTGTCCTTTTTGCTTTTTTAAAATTTGAATTTGAATTATTATAACAACTTTGCATGTTGAACAGGCCTTTATTATCTACACTTTTTTTTTTTTTTGAGAATATCTCAGCTTGCTTTCGTAACATCTATTTCCTCCTCCGAGATGCCACATTAATTCATCGTTGGAGAAGAGAATTTGAAACAAATGAATAACATCTGTAGCTTATCACTTTATCACTTTTCAAATCGTTCATCTTTCAATGCAGTATTGATGTTGACCAGAAACTTATCAATATCTGATCATTTTATGTCAAAGAATATATTTTATTGCATCCGAGTTATCACCTTACCCATTTTTTTTTCTAGCATTAACCATTGATTTCTCATAAATTATACATCGAATACAAATGTTGGATGATATCTTTAACATTTGTTGTAAGAAAATGATATGTTTTTATTGAACCTAAAGAGAACATAGACATTCAGATAGGCTGAAAACATTATAGATTGGAGTGAATTAAAAGATGTTTGATTATAATTGGGAAATAATCACGAATACAAGTTCTCTGGAGTCATTAAATACATAAACTAAAAAGTGGATAAGGTGACAACTTTTTGACACAATGATTTCATTTAGGGATCTTCTCTTTCAAGCTAAAATTCATTGCTTATTAGGACATTCAATTAGTCATTTGGATTGAATTTGGATTTGAATTGCTGCTGAAAAAAGATTTTTTAATTCTTTGAAGGACAAATTTTTTTCCTAACTTATAATAAACAAGTAATAGAAATAAAACTTTGTGTCAATCTTAACATTTATTTCTGCATTGCTTCTAATTTTTCTTTTTTCCTTTTTATTAGACATAACTTAAACAGAGAAATAATTGAAGTTAGGAAAAATGGATGCAATCGTCATAGTTAGAAGATAGAAGAAATGGAATTGTATTCAATGATATTTGTTTGAAATACTTCATCCCCTTGTAGTTTTATATACTTCCAATAAAAATATCAGCAATTGCAGAATTCGAGATGATGGAACAAATGAACAACATACGTTTTACGTGGAATCCACGTTTTTTTTTTTTTTAAAACTTTAATACCTTTATCTCAACGAGTAATGCTTAGCATTGACAATATTCTAATTAAGTTCATCCCAGTTATTTTCTTCGAGATAGATGATTGTAAACATAAAACGTTTCTGTTAGCATTTTTCATAAATCCAATTGGTTCATAAATCCATAAAAATGAACAAAACGCAGAGTATATTTTATCGATGTTTACATTTTGCACAGTAATGATTATAAGATTTTAGAGATAAATGAATTTATTTTAAGAAGAAAGAATTGAACGAAATGTCAACGATCACAAGTTACAGTAGTTAGTTATGAAGAAACTTGTTGGACAATTAAAATCGTAGGACAATTTGATTTAATTTTATCTTTTTAAATTCAAAATTTTAGAGCATATATTCAGCTAAACACAAACATTAGTTTAAGACTTGTCAAAGCATGATTCCCAAGTAATGATCAAGGTGGAGAAGAAAGTTTATCATGACCAAGTAACAATTTGAAGTGATAGTCTTATTCGTGACTCAAATCTTGCAAAAGTTTATATTTCCTGGTCTTCAAATTCTATCAGAAATTCGAAATTATAAAATAGCTAGCAATAAAATTGAAAATGGATTGTACTTTTGAGTGCCTAAGAAATAAGGCGTTTTATTGAAAAATCCTAAGCATTCATCTTAAAATAAATACACCTGTAAGTGCTTTGCTCAAATGGCTCATTTTGACACATTCATTTATTTCACTGTGTCATTTGCGTTTTACTGCTATCACCACCAATATTTGCATATTATTCCCTCAAAAGGGTCAAGACATTACAATATGTTTTTCTATGTCATATAAATGTAAATAATTACTCAAACTGATTCCTATAATAAGCATGTACAGGTAATCATTTATTCACCTTAATTGTTACAACAATTTTAATGGATGGATAATTTTTGTCAGGACTTTTCCCCTTATCGCATACTTCTTTTGAAAATATTGAACTAATTGTCAATGTTTATTAGTTGCGAAACAGCTGTTACTAGATGACTGTTAGAATATTTTTTAACAAAAAGGTCAAAGTTCAATCTTCCTCATCTTTCAATATTAACTGTAGTGTATACAGCGAGCAAATCAGTGTCCTATCACTGATCACACTTAGTAACATTGGAAAATTGCGATGATTCTTGCATATTCGAAATTTGATTTCTTATCACTGAAAATATTTGACACACTGATAACGTTCTTATATATCTCGGCGCAAATTTATTATCTATACCACTTGAAATTGTATGATTCGACAAATGTCACACGGAATAGAAATGACTTTCTAAAAATTCAATAACCAAGACAAACATGTGTTTGTGCATTATACGTTGTGTGTGTGGGTGTGTATACTGTAGAAATGAATTGAAATAACCCTCTAACCAACTTTTATTTCTCCAGCAATGAAAGTTAATCAACTCAGTTAGCTGGATTCTTCTGTTCATTTCCTTTTCTTGGTCATTTATGCAAATCCTTTAATTGACAATGAATTCCACTGGTCAAGGCTTATATATGCACATAAACAGAGAACAATTAATTAATTGTTTATTAGTAGTAACTTGAAGATTAGCCCCAAAGATCTTAATTGAAAAGGAAAAAAATGATGGATGATTGTGACCATGGATGGATCTTTTGGCTTTAATGCTCTAAGAATCATTTCATTAATTTCAGACACATCGCCTATTGCGGTAAAAATGGAAATGAAAGCAACTTTTCCAGTCTTCAAACCGAAAATCCTGAAAAGACAAATTTTGGAGAGCGATTAAATCGAGTTACTAATTCGTGTTGCTAATTCATGTTGCTAATTCCATCTGATCGTTTGATCCTTTCACACTGATCCCGCTTTCTTGGTATCGAGAAATTAGGTGGAAAAAAAAAGAATTAATTGTCAAAATTGGGACGTATTGAATAAACACTTAATTGCGTGAAAATGATCTGTTAAATGCATGTCAAAATTGTATATATTGTGATATTTGTTATATTACTAATATGATGACCATATTTAATTTAAAAACAGTAATACAACACATGGTGCATGGTATAGTATACGGTAGCACAATATATGGTATATGGCATACAGTAAGCGATATATAATCTATACTAGTACATGAGTATATTTAGAGCTTGGATAGATAAAGTGGAGATGGGAACGTTCGAAAGATTTGGTGACTGAATTATCTGCAATTTGTTTTGAAAGTGTGAAATTTTCAGACTACATGGATAGTTATGTACAAATTCATTCAGTAACAATCAGCATTCTCTGTTTAGTCTTGGGCATATTACTTCTTATTGCTAATCTCCCCGTACTTTATGCTATACTTGCAAATAGTAAATTAAGGATACGGTATGCTATTTTGGCTTTACTACTTTTGGCTGCTGCAATTGGAGGTAAGTTGCAAAATTGAAAGGGCAAAGGTTATGGAATATTTATTTCTAATTTGCGGATGTTTTCACATTTTAGCTGTTCAGCTATTTTGTTGCTTTTTTTAAATGGTTAATTGTCCTATGCAAAATATGGCTTTTATTCGGAATATTTCACGAATCCATCCGTACTGAAATGGCTTTTTTAGGATTTAACTGTTTGTTGCGAGCTTCTTCGATTATTCTGGAACTATGGAATGAAAATGGGAAAGATTGCAAGAATTATACGAATGAATCTTCCTTTATTAATAAGAAGCCATGGAACTGCCTTGGCCCAGTTTGTTACTCCCTCTAATTTGACTTTAATTTCTAGTATTTCGTAAATATCCAAAGAGCGAAGAGTTAAACAAAGAGCAAAGCCTTATGAAATATTAACATTAACACTTCAATCGTTAAATTTTTTTATTTTATCGATAGGTTAATTAACTGTCAATTTAGTACTTCAACCTAATATTTACTTTTTAAATTTTTTTAGGATTTTTTAAAAGATTTCTTTCTAGATTTTTTCTTTCATATCTTTTTCTTTGACAAAATTGAAGAATTAGCAATAATCTAATAATCTAAACTTCATTCCAGGCTTATCTTGATAAATTTAAAAACTCTCGGTAGTTTTTCGTTTTTCCTTTTTTTTTCTTTTTTCATGTTTTATGAAATCTTTAAAGTACTATTTTTCATGTTAATTTTTTGTTTCTTTTGCTAACATTACTTTTTTTTCCCATATTTTTGGAGAATTTTTTCATCTAATACTAAGCTTTCCAGAAAACCAATAACATGTGAAACAACGTAATGCTTTTTCAAAAGGCCCCCCTGCGACATCATCACATCATTTAATTTCGTCAAACTTTTAAATTAATTAATCCAATAATTAATTAAAAGAAATTCAAATTACTTTTCAGATAGCGAGCTATTATGAATTATTTTCTTTTCTACTTATTCCAATAACACTCCTAGTGAACAGCACTGATCGACTGTTGGTAATATACAATCCAATTGGCTATTTTCTACATCCAAAATTGTACCTGATCGTCCAACTTTCCATGGCTGGCTTATTTCAACTTGGCTTTATGATCTATGTCATTATTGCTAAATTTAATGTACCATTTGCTACCAATAAATGCACGTTCGTTTTTCTTTTTCTATTTCTGATAAGTTAACTAAATATAATCTTATGTCCTTGTCGGAAGTTTTTACTTGATTGATTATCTTCTGTGACATAAATTTAGCGAAAGCTTATTACTAGCGATTAAAACTACATTATTATGTGGACATTGCTACAACAGTTTTATTTCCTCTTGTTTGTTTTCATCATTCCAGGCATGCTTAATCTTCCCATGCTAGTTAGGATTTAATTGTCACAGTAAAATAATCCT